CACGGCCACCAGTCACATGACCACTGAGCCACGCCCACCCAGCCATTCATTAGGGCAGAGAACCGGTTGTTAAATTATTTGAATCCCACCACTGATGTATACGTATTTTATAGATTGTGTAATTTGTCTCAAGAGACATACCTTAAAATGCATCCCGGAATCATAGGCGCCATTAATCATTCCATAGGTCAGGGGTCCCCAACCTCCAAGCCATGGACTAGCACTGGGCGGCAGAATGCCAGAAACTGGCCCATGCAAACAAGCACAGTCTCCTCTGTGAGATGCAGGAAGCACACAAAACCACGGCCCCTGAGGTCCACAGAAAACCCCTCTCCACGAAATTGGTCCTTAGTGCCCAAAAGGTTGGAGGCCACTGCTATAGTTGATAGATCAGGCAAGGGAAATGTTATCAAGTGGGCCTTGGAGGGTGTGAAGTTATCTAACAACATTTTTTTTCCTGCCTTTTTTCCTTCTAGTTTTGGAACACACAACTTCCACATTCGCAACGGTAGGCCTAAATATCTCCCCTACTTCTCCATTCAGTACTCTTACTTCATCCTTTGGGGACTCTCCACACTCCTCCTTCCTCCATCTTCCATTTCTGCTTTCTTTCTTTCTTTCTTTCTTTCTTTCTTTCTTTCTTTCTTTCTTTCTTTCTTTCTCTAAGCTATTGTTTCTTCTCCTGTAGCTTCTGTTCTTACATTTTTCCCTCCTTTGCTCTGCCCTTCTCACAGGCGTATCTCAGGGCCCCATATCTGTGGGGATGCTCTGTCAATAGACAAAACGGGCTCACAGATTTTGACGGGATCCTGGAGGCGGCATAACACCCTGCAGGTAAGAGTGGCAAAAAGACATCTCTGAAGCTCCAAAGTTGACGTAGAACAATATTTCTACGTGCAGAGTGAAACGAATTTGCAGGGAATGCTCCCAGATCACTTTCCTATTGTTGCATTATATAGTAAAACATATATGTGCAGGAACTCCAGTTTGACTCTACTGCTCAAGATAAATGAGATGTGATGTAATATGAATCATTCAAATGTCCCTTTAAACAGCAGATGTGTTGTATATTTATACACATTTCAGGTAATTCTATAAGCTCTATAAAATTCATGAATGAGCAGTACATTTATTGCACTGGTGGGATTCAAATTTTTTTTACTACCAGTTCTGTGGGCGTGGCTAGGGGCATCCTGTGTCTGATAGGGAGTGGCCAATTAGACGTCACTTATGGCCATGCCCACTCAGTCACATGACCCTTCCCACCAAGCCACCCCCTAAAGAAAAAGGTAGGAAAAAATTTCTACCTACCTATTTTCGGTGCATGCAAAATTACCTGGCAGTAATGCTGGCAGCAACCCACCTCTGGGAGATGTGTGCGACTGGTAAAGGGAGAGCAGGTGGCGAGCGGGTGGTGACTCTGGGGCAAGGCTGGAGCCAGGGAATGGCACATTTCCCGCCCCGCCCGAGGCGGGCGATTGCTCCGAGGCCTCAGGGAATGGCAAATCCTTGGGGCCCCTGACCCAAGGTGAAGAGGGAGCAGGCAGCATGCTTACTTACCTTTGGTGAGCTGAGCAGAGCAGACAAGGGATGGAGGTGACTGGCAAGGCGAGTAGCTGGGCCACGCCACAAAACAAAGGCAACATGTATAGGGCTGGGATGGGCAGAGCGAGCACAGATTAGATCGCACAGATTA